AAGATTGTCCCCATCTTTCCTATAGGCCTCCTTTAGGTACTGAAAGGCCGCAATCAGGTCTGCCCACAGCCTTCTCTTCTCCAGGCTGAACAACCCCAACTCCCTCAGCCTGTCCTCATAGGACATGCCGTGCGCCGGCATAACCGCCCCTGGGCTGATGCTGGTGGGAAGCAGATCTGAGCTTAAAAACACTTCCGTCACCTGCTTAGTGCTAATGTTAGTGTCCTAATGCAGTTCCCGCCAGACCTGGACAAAGGCTGGTACCAGGCTGCTTCTCCTGGTTTCGGCTGGGATGGAGTTAATTTTCTTCCTAGCAGCTGGTGTAGTGCTGTGGTTTGGATCCAGTACTGGAATAATATTGATAACTCACTGATGGTTTAGTTGTTGCTGAGCAGGGCTTATGCCAGTCAAGGACTTTTCAGCTTCCCCTGCTCTGCCAGGGGCACAAGAAGCTGGGAGGGGGCACAGCCAGGACAGCTGACCCCCACTGGCCCAAGGGCTATTCCAGACCACATGATGTCATGCTTGGGGGGAGTTAGGCAGGGGAGAGCGATCGCTGCTTGGGACAGGCTGCGCATCGTTCAGCGGGTAGCGAGCAATTGCATTGTGCATCGCTTGTTTTGTATATTTTGCGTATTCTATTGCCATTGTTATTGTTTTTCTTTTATTAAACTGTCTTTATCTCAACCCACAGGTTTTACTTTTTTTCTTCCCCAATACTCTTCCCCCATCCCACTGAGGGAGGGAGCAAGCGGCTGGGTGGTGGTCAGCTGCCTGCAGGGCTAAACCACAGCACTGCTCAAGGCCAGGGCAGGTACAGGAGCAGAAACGAGCATTTCACAGCAAGGAACAAGCAAGGTTGTTTCCTTTAGCAGTGCTCCTGGGCCACGCCAACTGCACACGTGTGGTCTGCGTAGGGTGAGGACTGAGAGCTTGCAGACCTGAGTACCCGCAGCAGCCTGTCCTCCTGGTAACGGGGTCTTGAACAAGAGGATTAATACCATCACGGAAGCTGCCTCGAATAAAATAGCAGCAGGTGCCCCTCCTTGTTTTAGGATCTAGGCTTTTGTGAGTCATTTAAAGCCTCACCAGTGTCAAAATCAGTGCCAACTTTCCATGCGGAAGCATTTTCTTGTTTCAAGTGTCGCAGAAGCACAGACCAGGGAAGGGCTCTATATTTTTAACACTACACAACATTTTAGTGAATGATTTGATGCATAAGTAGAATAAGCAAAGCAAGTGAGCCCCTGATCACTTGTGCCTTTTGATTTTTAAGGCTGTTATCCTGCATGCTCTGTAGTAACCTTGGAGCAGTGGTGACAGAGCTGAAAGGGGACCAACAGCAATGGAAAGAAACTCAGTGCTCTGTTATCTTTGAGTAGGTCCCCAGAGAACTACAGACCCAGTTCTTTGGTGTTGCTGATCTTCAGGGTCCTACTTCGCGTAACTGCAGAGACACAAAGCAGAGATACAAGACGAGCCCCATGGTGCTGACACGCAGAGATCCCTGCAGCTGAGGAGAAGGTCAACCGCTCACGCAACCTCCAGAGTCTCAGACAAGGCCTCCCTGCTCACATCACTGTCAGGATTTGGTCCAGGAACACAGTCACAGCCTGCCATCCTTAATTCCTTTAAGCCCAGCTGTCAGGTTTCATACGAGCCTTTCTCTGTCACACCCTACATTGGTTTATAAATAAACTGTGAAAAAGCGTTAATAAAAAACCCTTTTTACCTTGCCCATTGCCACATGAACCGGGTGGTGCAGGTCTTTGGCTGGTACTGTCTGTTTGCTTTTGACATCAGTAATTATACACACCTCTTAATAGGGCAGGGCAATTTTTTTCTTGGATGGTTCTGAGGTAAATCATCTTGTTAATGGCACCAGCACCTGAATAATACTTTTAGTAAGACACAGATATGAGAATCCACAAGCTAAAAATGTACACAGTATTCCTACTCCGTTATATTCCTATCAGCTGCCTCAGACGTTCCAGTGATAGCACTAGCAAAAGGGAAGAAAAACCAAGACAATTAGAAAGAAATTATTGACATGGGGTGGATCTTCAGAGAGGCTGAATGATTTGAGCAGAGCTGTGAAGTGGAAGTGCTTGATTTTTAACAGGATTTTAATTTATTACCAGAAAGGGTACCATACAAGAAAATTGTTCTGTGTTTACTGATGAGTCTGAGAATTTGCAGACAAATTATTTGAATTCACTTTCTAAATGCAGGTCGTAGATAAAACATTGAACTCCTGCACCTTCAGCTGAGGTCACTGAACTCTGAAGTTATAATCACATTGGTTTAAATCATGTATGTAAAATCCAGTGAGCAGTGAGGATCAGGCTACTGATCCTTTTTCCAAGCCTTAGGATATGACTGAAACCACATCCACTCCCACCTGGCTCTGCTCCTCAGGACGGGTATGTATGTTTAGGATGTTGCACAGTTCACAGTCTCTTCAGCTGGCCCTTCAGGCAGTTGCAGCCATGAGCAGATTTATCCTGGAACACGGGCACTATGTGTAGCCTTCTCCAGTCGTTGACAACTTTCCCTGACTTGTGTTAGTGCTTACAGGTAATCAGCCCTGGTTCAGATATTGCTATCCCCAGTTTGACACTCAGTAGACCTGTGCTGTTGACTACATATAATGAATATTCTTTTTTTTTTCTTCTTCTTCTATTCTGGTTGGTATACATGACTACTTACTCAAATGCATTCATTTCTGGCAGGAATAACCTTCCTTTGTGAGGACGAGCAAAACAAAGATTGAACACTTTAGCCTGGTGTGCATCATCCATTAGCTGCTCTCCTTCCACATTCTGTAATAAATCTCCACTTACCTTGGTTTATCCCTTACTTCTGAGATATTTTTAGATCATCTTTTTGCTTTTGATGTGTCTTGCTGCTCATAACTCATTCTGTCCGTTTGCTTTTCTGAATTGTTTCCTGTGTTATTGTTCTCTGTATCTACTTGCAGCCTCAGTTATGGTTTATTGTCTTTTGGAGTTTCATTTTTTTAAAGACCAGTTGTTGCAGACTTACTGCTACACATTTTTCTTACTATGCCTCCTAGCTTTCCTTCCTATAGAGAAAATTTGCTACTTGGGTTTTAATGTATTTGCTTCCAGTTATTCTCAGCAGCCTTCATTCTTGAGATCACCTTCTCAAAAGACATTACCTTTTGGTTCGCTGACTTTTCAAAAGTCTGGGTTTTTTCCCTTATTCTAAGTCTTTCATGGTTTTTTCTTGCAGTAAGTTAACACCATGTGTCATTACCACTTCCAAACAAACTACCTTCCCCTTCTGAATTTTCCACCAGTTCCTCCTTTTTTAAAATCAGAAGTAGAAGCTTGGCTTCCTCTCGTGACTTCCTCTATTTCCTGAGACAGAAGTTGATTCCAGTGTCCTCAACAAGCTTGATGGGCTGGTGGGGGCCTGCCAGTTTGCTTTTCCCACTGACAGGTAGCTGAGGCATATCTACAGAGTAAAACACAGGGCTCTGAAAGAGCGAGCTGAGCTGAATCGGTGCAGGTCTCCTCTGAACTGAGCACCTGCACTGAGGGGTTGCAGTGAGATCTACGTTCCTCGTAGTCCTGGCTGGCCTGATCAGCTGCATGCCACCTTCACCAACATGTGAAGAATACCTGTTCTCCAAGATGACTCATCTCTTTCTCAGGAGTGATTTGTGCAGCACCTCCGAGCTGCTTATTCAGATTGACAACTATTGATCTCAAGACCAAATAGTTCCCAGGGAATTCTTTTCTCAGAAATAATGGGGAGGTTGCATATCCAGGGATTGGACAGCAACTTCCTTCAAGGACTCTGACTTCTGATTGGAGACAAAATCATTGTAAATGCCTGGGTTTAACTGAGTTTGTTGGTGGGCTGAATTGTTTATTTAGGACTTCCACTCCAATTTTCAACCCCTTAAACCCCTCTCCAAAGTGAACATTTCAAAACTTACTTTCTTCCCGCAGCTTATCCGTATTGGTGAATGTTTTGGTAAATCTGTCTGAAAATCTTTTGGTCCCTGGTAGCGCCTGATCAGTCTCTGGTCAACCCACTGCCCTTTTTGTGTGGTCTGGATAAATCTCCAAATACTGTTCAGAATTCTTGCAGTTTACTTCCTGCAAATTCTCAGTCTCACACAGGTTCACCAGGTCAGCAG